ATAAACTTGAAAATCTGAGTTTTTTATCTAAATTTTTTTTAAAGTCTTTACTATGTTGTAAGTGTTCCTTGAGTATTGAGCAAAAAATCTATGGCATATTATCAAAGAGAGGCTTTAAAAAAAGTTACTTAATACTGAAAATTTGTGTATTTGTTAATTTTGTGAATATGTCAACTAATAGACTTTAATTATAACTGGTTAGACTATTGTAATTGAAAATCAATATAGAAGTTTACTGAGGCGACAAAATACATAGATATATTAGTTCAATATCTTGTCATATATTAGTTCAATATCTGGTATTCATTGATGATTTATTCTGATATAACTTTATAATATTATAATTTCCTATAGTATATGTGTATTAAAAATGCTAAACCAGTTAATTTTTGCAGAAAAAAAAAAATAAAATAATATTTATGTGAATATTTAGGTCATAAGTCTGGAAAAATTAAGAAGGGTAGCTGTGTTTTTGTTGAATGGTAGCAGATGCAGTAGATTCTGGAGTATCCTGTTTGTGATCAGTTTGTTGTTGTTGTCTTTGTTACTCGCCTGATTTGCTCATAGTTGTTCATTTCCAACACACCCGTAGATTAAGCTTGCAGTTTTGTCAACATTATTATCATTGTAAATAAGTACCATTGTTAATATCAGTTGTCACAAGAATCTGTTAATGTCATATCACAATGTTTCATCTTCATTGACCAAGTTGACATGTAAAAACATATACTTAATTTATATATACATACATGTACTATGTTTCCTGTTTAATTTTTTTTTCATATATAGGAACCGTTTCTGATTCTGGGTCACCATTTTTCTTTTATTATTCATTTAAACAAAAAAAACTGGGTTACTTTTCAGTTTGACTGTATTTCGTTTATATTGACTGTATTTCGTCTTAGTTTTTAAATAATCATTGGTAAGGCTAAGATTTTTTTTTACACATATATTATCAAACCGTAACTGTTTTGAATCAACACGATTATTTTGATATTTTTTTAAGACAAGTTATATTCCCCCCCAGAAAAAAAAATAATTATGAATAGGGTGTCATATTCAGAATTAAATCAGATATGTGTATTTTGAAAATTCACTGACAAACAATTTTGTGTTAACTTGTTTGATAGTAATTTATTACTTCACAACTTATTTACTGAATATGGCATAACATGGCTTCAGAGTGAGCCAGTGATAATGACATTGTCCATAATTTTTTATGCTTATTTTATGTAATACTTAAGGTTACTTTTGTCATAATTTATTGTAATGGAAAGTGACCACTAAGATTTAATTTATTCTTTGGAAATAATAAATTAGGAGGCTATATTGCCATAGGGAGGGTTTTAAAAACTTTCTTGAATTTTATGCCCCCCCGCCATATAATGGGGCAAGGGGCCATATGTGTTACCCCTGGTTCCGTCATCGCGTCAAATTTCCGTCCTTTTCCGTCAATCATCAGTTTTTCCGTTCATTACTTTAATCAACCCTTGCACATAATTGAACTCAAATTTGAACATATGGATATGTCATGAGAAAATACAGGTCAATTCGAAATTAGTCATGGTTCGAAATGATTTTTGGCAGAGTTATGCCCCTTTTACATTGAAAATATTATGAAATTTTCAGTTTCCGTTTCATTATCTCCCAGACGGTTCAAAACATTCAATTCAAAATTGACATATGGATATGTCATGAGAAAATACAGGTCAAATTTGGTCATGGTTCGATGATTTTTGGCAGAGTTATGTCCCTTTTACTTTAAAAATAATATGAAATTTTCAGTTTCCGTTTATTATCTCCCCAACAATATTACACATTCAACTCAAATTTGACATCATGGATATGTTTTTTGGAATGCCCAGCAGGCCAAGTTCGAATCTGGTCATGGTTTAATAGATTTTTGGCAGAGTAATGCCCTTTCACTTTGAAAATGAAAATATGAAATTTACCAGTTTCTGTTCATTTATCAACCCAACAGTGTTACATATTCAACTCAAAATTGAACATATGGATATGTCAAAGGAATGCGCAGGTCAAGTTGGAATTTGGTCATGGTTCGATGATTTTTTGGCAGAGTTATGTCCCTTTCACTTTGAAAATAATATAAGATACATCTTAGGAATAAGCAGTTTAAGTTTGAATTTGGACGTGGTTCAATGATTTTAGACAAACTTATCTTTCCTGAATGTTGGAAAAATTTTGAACTTTCAGTTTCAGCACTCATACTTTTTGTGGAAATGTATATAGCCATTATGTTGGCTACAAATATGCAATATGCTATTTTTAAAAAGGTTAAGACTGAATAATTTCAGTGCCTTGAACATTGTATAAAAATGGTTAAGACTGAATAATTTCAGTGCCTTGAACATTGTATAAAAATGGTTTGTGTTAACATTGAAAAGTTTTTAAGGGCTTTAAAAACTTAGAATGAAAAAAATAATTTGTGCAAACAAATTTGGAACTAAATATTATAACATTTGAAATTTTGGCTGCATGCGGGGGCATCCGTGGCATGATGACACATTTCTAGTTATGTATTTTATTCCATTTAATTTTTCTGTAAATATGCATTGCATGTATTGAGACATGTTTTAAACATTTCATTATTTAAGCAGGGATAAAACCCGTGCCTTGTTACGTGTATCATGATTCTTTATTAACATGTGATAATTTTGACATGTTATAGTAAATTGATGAAATCTATCATGTTGTTTCTTTTTAATAAACCATAGTTAACGTTGAATAAATACATGAACAATGTCGGATTTATTGGTACAAGAACAGCAAGTGACACAACTTATTACTTGTGATACACTGCCAAATTTCTTTCATATGGACTTGATGAGCTTCCATTTTTTGAGAAAAATTTTTCAACAATGAAAATTTTAAGTTTGTCAGCCAACAGTATATATAACCTTGGCAAACTGCACAAAAGTGCAGGCTGGCTTCACTGGTGGCAGGGGTTAACCAATTATAGTTCAAGCTGGGTTAGGATTGATATAACTTTCTTCTCATTGTGGCTAATTAATAATCTTGAAAATCTCCAGCTAGTCTACAGGTGAGGAAAAATTCATCTACTTTCTTCTCATTGTGGCTAATTAATAATCTTGAAAATCTCCAGCTAGTCTACAGGTGAGGAAAAATTCATCTACTCCATGTATCTCAAATCAATGTTCCTTATATTCATCGTTAATGTCATATTGCCCGAGGCAATGACGTTAACCGATGAATATTACATCATATTCAATGGCTCCATTAGTCAATAATTGTATAATACAATGTAACAACTGTGCTGGACCAGCAATTAAAACAAATATAGTAAATTAAAGAGTTATACCTATTTTATTCTGATATAAATGGGTAGATACAAATATATGAAAAAAATAAAAATGAATAAAATAAAAAAGTAAATGCACCAACAAACAATTTGCCATAATAACGAAACCAATGAACCTAAAACAGCAACAAAAAGGGTGTATTGCAGCCTTTTAAACCCATAACTAACAAGAAGTCGCACAACAGAAATATCTGACCCAGTCTACAGTTCAGGCTGTAAATAGAACACTTCAAAATGTGTTTGACAATACAAAAATATCTGAAAAGTGAAAGAAATTTTATATCTAATGTGAAAAAAAGAAGCTTGTAAGTTAAAATGATGTTCAGATGACCAACACGCTACTGTAATTTTTCCTGTATATGTCATGTGACAAAAAGGACAACTTTTGATGCCTGGTATTTTAAAACTACACCACACCGAGAAAGTCTTAACAAGGCTGTCACAAATAAAAACATTCAAGTTGTGACCAGCATCTTCCAGAGATTTTACATCTTAAATTAAACAAAATACTTCAGTAACAAACATGTTGATATTAGCTAACAAGAGCTGTCTGTAGGACAGCAACGCTCGACTATTCTTAGTGCTTGATAGTAAAAAAAAATCCTTGATACAATTACCTCCTCCTGTTTACAGGTTTACAGGTTGGGGTAATGATGGTGAACAAGTGTACAAAGTTTCAAAGCCATATGTCAATGGACTTTGAAAATATTTGAACTATTACAAAAACTTAAACGTAAATTCTAAGTCGAAAAAGGGGCATAATTCTGTCAAAATGCTTGATACAGTTACCTCCTCCTGTTTATAGGTTGGGATAATGATGGTGAACAAGTGTGCAAAGTTTCAAAGCCATATGTCAATGGACTTTGAAAATATTTGAACTATTACAAAAACTTTAACGTAAATTTTAAGTTGAAAAAGGTGCTTAATTCTGTCAAAATGCTTGATACAGTTACCTCCTCCTGTTTACAGGTTGGGGTCATGATGGTGAACAAGTGTGCAAGGTTTCAAAGCCATATGTCAATGGACTTTGAAAATATTTGAACTATTACAAAAACTTTAACGTAAATTCTAAGTCGAAAAAGGGGCATAATTCTGTCAAAATGCTTGATACAGTTACCTCCTCCTGTCTACAGGTTGGGGTCATGATGGTGAACAAGTGTGCCAAGTTTCAAAGCCATATGTCAATAGACTTTGAAAATATTTGAACTATTACAAAAACTTTAACATAAGTGGTTACGCCGATGCGGACACCAACGCCGACGCTCGGGTGACTACAATAGCTCTACTTATTCTTATCGAATAGTCGAGCTAAAAATTGCATAAAATAATGCTTAACCACAAATAATACAGTGGAAACATGTACCAAGCATAATTTCCGAGTTTTGTTTAAAAAATATTGAAATAACAACAAAGCAATATCAACAAGAGAATGCGCAAAATATGACACATAAATATGAGGTAATGCAAAAAAGGACAAGATTTTTTTTTAAAAATGTGACATTTGTTACATTATCACAATAATCAGATAAGCACATGGTTAGTATGGACATAGCAACATTGGAACCCATGTGCACATTTTATTAAAGACCATGCCTGCGTTACCAAAGATGGGCCATAGGGACCTGGCATTGTGTTTGGATAGTGTAAAAGTAGTTGAAAAACAAAACACCACTAATGACTATCCTATAACTGTGTCCAAACAAATCTAACTTTTATGCATAGCCACAATAACTAAATAAATCCACTCATCAGCTCCAAATCTAGACAATATTATATAATGTAACTGTTAAATTGATTCATTTACAGACTATGTTCCAAATGGATTTTTGTTTTGCATGCTTTCCTATTAGCTTATGCATATATATATAGATGTCCGGATAAAAGGAAAACACAGAAGATTATGCTACAACATATAGAATATAAAACGAATAAATATAAAAACATTTTTATAAAACATACTATTCCTATTTTAATTATTAAATATATATTTACAACAGATTTTAACGATGTTACTGCTTACAGTATACATCAAAATAGTTTCCATTAATCTGAACTAAAATAAAAAATACACTATAAAGTTGATTAAAAGACATCCTTTGTTGCAAATTTTCTGAAAATGATGAACTATTACATTAGTTTAATTCACATTTATCTAGATCTGTGCACTGGAACGTGATATTTAAACAGTAAGTCACAAAATTTATGTTTATGACAAAATATAGCTCTATAAATTCATAGAGATAAGGGCTTTATTTTCTTATAAATGCGTATCTTGTGATTTATAGATTAAACATCAAGTTCCTGTGATATATTATAAATTATATGAATATTTCTGTTGTATTAATTGTCTTCTCAATGCAATGCTACTTATTGCAAACTTTGAAAAACAAAAACATCTTTGTGATAGAAATGAAATATTTAACTATATTTAAATGTTGACTAAGTCAATCAAATTATCTTTTTCAACGAAAGCAAAACAAAAAATATTTCAACTATTCAAAGCATTATATTGATCCACGGCTTTAACTTTATTTGTAATTTAAGCCATGTTTGATCACTGAAAGTTATTTCCTTGTACATTACTTTTCAAGCTCATGCGATTTGTGAGTGAATGTATGTACAACACTAGATGTTCCTAAAAGCTTGATGGGTTTCTAATTAGTCTTGCTTCAAGGTCACTAATCTCTTTAATGTACCATTCTGTTATGTTCTATTCTGTTCTGTTCAGTCCATGTGTTCAGGATGTGAGCGAAGACAATCTATAAAATCACTTGGAGGGATTTCACGTTGACAGATTCTGTAAATGGCATTAAACAACGGGAAACTGAAAATATAAATTTACAAATGGTAAACTTATTGAAACCCCATTGACAGATTCTACACATGGCATAAAGCTACAGAAAAATGTAAATAGATTTACAAATGGCAAAATTATTCAATGAGAAATACCAGAAGACTTGGGCAAATAAACATCTCATATAAAATGTACATGTATATACTGAAAATGAAAGCCCTCTGATTCTGCTAAATTAAATACTAAATGTAAGACAAAAATTTAGATTCAAAATATTAAAATCATTGTCATGTGAAGGAATTCAGATGTTTAATGAAGGATAAGGCAATTATTTTCCTAAAATCAAATCAATAAAATGTGTGAAAGTACTATAAAATAGTAAATTCTATCATATTTAAAACATCCAAAGCCTATCGAAGACTTGGATTATTCATACATTTCCTATACTCAATGCAAGTGTGGTTTTTATAAATCTGGAGATGTGCAGCTTGAAACCTTCAATGTAATTCATCAGTATTCAGCAATATTTCCAACTTCTCTCTTCCCCTTGGTGTGTGCAAGTCACAGAGAAGGCACAGCATAAGCACAAGATTTGCTGCTTGACAGGCAGACAGATTACCCAATACTTCTGTACACTACTTTGTCTAAGACTGGAACCAGCTCCCAATGTTGTGACTACAGCTGACGAGAGTGTCCCTACAAAGTAGGCAGGGATAACAAGGAAAGGTTCTTGTGTGTGTGAACCACTAACACAGAGTGACAGCTTAACAGACAGGACCTTGCTGGCATAACAGCCCTTTTCAGGGCTACCTTCTTTTTTATTGTCTCAGGTTACTGTACATTTCGGTTCTCATTGCAACCATACAGTGACTAGGGTCCATCCGCCTGTTATGGCACTAAAATGCAGCTTTTGCTGTCTATTACAAACCCAGGGCTTTCACCATTCTTTCCCTTAAAAGGTTAAGTTTGAAGTGGTGATAATTTGCATCCATGCAATTTCCACAGAGTATTAGCCAGAGATATGAATTTTGAGCCAAAAAGTAGGCCATTGTATGGCAGTCAATGAGAACCTAAATGTAAATGTAACCGGAGGCAATATGAAAAAGAGGAGGAAGTCCTGAAAATGGTTGTTAATGCCAAACAAAGGGCCTGCCTTTCAAGCCATAACTCTGTGCTAGGGGCTTTCCTCTCCTCCTCATCCCTATCTACTTTGTAAGGCCACTTCCCTCGGCTTCCACCAGGACATCAGCAGCTGGTCTGCAGGATACAAGTCTTGGTTATCTTTTTTTCCATCCTACATTTTTTAAATCTTTAAATTCTTCATTAGGATGTGCATGTACCAAAGAGAAGACAGAGGTTTTGTTGGCTTGACATATATAAACACTAATTGATTGTTACATAAGTAAAATCATACAAGGCAATAACTTACTCATCAACTATACCCCTTTCTTTAAGAACTTCGTGAATCTCTTGAGCCACCAAAGGTCCTTGGAAACTCTGTCCTCTCAGTATTTCTTTCTCTAATTCTTTAATAGTCTGTAAACAGAAAACAAAACTTTTATAATCACATCTCCATTGTGGCTGACAGTGTGCCTTTACGGGTAGAGGTATCAGAATTGCAGCCACCGTTTATCCCTGCTTGAATGTAAGAGGCGAAAATAGGTTCAAATTACTGAAGTCTACTCCAGCAGGTAGGATAATTTTGACCCATTGTGTTGCTTTAAGTTTGTTACACACAAGAGTAGCAAAAATCATCTTTTCCTGTTTAGGCACCATATGACTTAAATTGTGTTGGTGCGCCGTACAACCAGTCAAAACTAACAAAACAAACATTTGATTGGGTTATGTCCCAATGTATCACTATTTACGCGCTGGCAGTATATATAATGGTACTGGATTCAGTACAAGTTACAGTAGATATTGAATGCAGAAAATTAGGTTTATACTTGAAGTATAAACCTAATTTTCTGCATTCAATATCTACACATGTCAATCACCTGAATCATTATCCAAAGGCATGAGTAACATCAGATATACTGTCTTCAGTAAAACTGTCATGGAAAAAAATACTTCTTTACTTGAAACAGACTTACAGATCCATACACCTAATGCTTTATATAGAACACAAGGTGATTATTCTAATGCAATCCTGATATCATGTTAAATCAGTTCAGTTTCAGTTTTTATTTAGCAAATCTGCATAATATCAAGCCAATTTGGCCATTTTAACAATTACATTGTGATAAATATGGCCAATAGTGTACGGAAAAAACAACTGAAACAACATTATATAAACCTAGATCCTGGAATAAATTTAACCTATAAAATGTTGGTTTTTTTACTTGAACCTGAAAATTTAATAATGTTTGAAACTGAATCTGAAATAATATTCTAAAATAAATCTGAAATAATGTTTTACAGTGAACAAACAGAACAATGAAATAATGTTAAATGTACAAAAATTGCTTTTCCTGACCAAATTAAGGGCCATACTTCTACAAATGGTAACTCAAATAATAAATTGTTTCTACAAAAGGTAGTTAAAACAAACCTATCAAATGTTAAATGAATGCAACATAGAACCTTTGGCATATAAAATTGTGTAGTTATAAACTTCAGTACTAAAAATTAGACCAAACTTTTTCACTCTATTAGTATTACACAGAAGTATTTTTTAGACTGTAACTGAATATACATCTATCTATCTTTTATAATTAAGGAATTCTAGTTTATTTCATTGAGGAATTAATTCTAGTTTATTTTATAAAGGAATGAATTCTAGGTTATTTTATTAAGGAATGAATTCTATAAAATTTTAATTTTATTTACGAATTAATCCTTAGAAGTTTATTTCATTTAGAAATGAATTCTATAAAGATTTAATTCTAGTTTACTGGTATTTTATTTAAGATGAAGTCTTGTGATACAATCACCAATTTTGTTTTTGAAATGTAGTTTTTTAGTCTTTACAATGTGCTATTTAAGAATTTATATCATTAATACACCATCATACCCAAATATAAATACTGACCGAGTGAGAGTCTATTTAAAAAGAGAAGTAAAAGACTTTGGAAGGAGTTTGGTAAGTTTAAGTATCACTGTTACAATCTATTATCTAATAGGGAATATCCAGTTTTAGTGAAAGATTCATTCACTATTCTGGGCACCAGTACTGACCTAGAATCTTGGTCGAACCACCAATGAAAAAAATAACATGGGCACAAGTACTGACCAGACATCTTGGTGAGACAAGCGACGAAAAAACAACAATATAACCTGAGAATTTCTGCACTTTCTATTCAATTTAAAAATTTGTTTAAATAGAAAAAGTCCAAAATAATTGGATCTACACTGGTGGCAGACTGGCCTAGCCCTATACTGGTTTCAGGGAGGCTCACCTAGCTATAATGGTAGCAGGCTGGCCTAGCACTATACTGGTTTCAGGGAGGCTCACCTAGCTATAATGGTAGCAGGTTGGCCTAGCTCTATACTGGCTCTATACTGGTGACAGGGGCTTATCACTTTCAGTTCCATCATATTAAGAGTTAACATTAGTATTCTGATGCTGAAATCTCTTATATTAACAATATACAGTCAAAATTTAACACAAGGCAAGTATATTAAACAATTTTACAGGTAATAGTTAAAAGAATTTCACAGATCAGTAAATTGTCTAAAATATTAATTTTTCATGGATATGACTTTCTGTCATACCATACTGCTAAGTCTTGTGAATAAAAGGTTGGCAACTTTCTTTTTCCTATTCCTTAGAAGAAGAGATTGTGGGTGTAAGTTTTTAAATGATTAAATTTCAAACACCAAAGAGAGCAACCATTTCACACATCAATTTCTCAGTATTAAGAATATCGTATATGGATCTATATGGATAATATAAAATTAGTTGAAACAATGTTGATTCCAATATATTAGCCATCATCATCCTAATTACACTTACTGTGAAAGTGAATTCTCCCAGCTAACTTCAGCAAAGTTTTTTGGGTCAAAATGTTTTTAAGACATTAAAATGGTCACTCTCTTTAATCAACCAGGTGAATATTAATCAAACTTCAAAATCAAAACATGAGTAGTGAAATACCAGAGGTTTACCCAATTCGGCCGGTCCTTTAAAAAATTAAAATATAAGAAATAAACTGAAATAAAACAAACTTTTAAATTTTCATATAAAAACAAGAATGCCTGTAAAAATTCTGGGAAAGGATAGATCCCTCGGGAGCAATGACCACTTGCCACTGCTCCCTAATGCTTTAACAAAACTAAAACTATCTTTTACTTTACTATAATAAGGGAAAGCATGAAAATCTATTTTTAACCATAGTGACCTTGACTTTAACCTAAGTTTCCTTAAGCTCCATCTAAGGATGAGGTTCATAGAAGGTACAAATTGAATATCTGTGATGTCAGTCAATAAATCGCTATGTTGAGACATAAACCAGCAATTATATGCTACCAAATGTTTTCTGGGAGTACAAGTACTGGAGTCATTAACGGTATAAGTACTGAAACAAAACATTCCTTCAGAATGTTGAATTGAAAAAGTAAATGTTTATGTTACATACTATATATACAAACAGAGATGTAAAACAAATTTCAGGCTTCATGCTACAAGCAAATATACAAGAGCACAACACTTGGTATTTCTAATTTGCGTGCAATATATTTGAAGTCTCTATTAAACCAATATTACTTTTTTCTTAAAACAAATACATGTAACGCTGTGTTTTGCTAATAGAGTAAAATGTAATATTCCAATTTCTGTTTCAATATGGACATTGGTCAAAAACCAAATCTTCTTTTGCTCCAAAATCATAAGTTAATTTGTTCATTGTAATGAAAAATACTACTAAATGTTGAACATCTAATAATTTTCAAAATAACAACCAAATCATAACTGCCATACAAAAGAGGTAGAATACACGATTACTGACAGAAAACAAGTCATGCCTTTATATATTTTTTTTCAAATAATAATAAGATCAATGGTAATTTATACCTTATCAGATTTGATAACAAGTTCACCCAACATTCTGTTTCGTCCACCATGACAAGTGGCGACCAGATCTGCAACTCCACAACTCTCAAAAAATGTTACTTCCTGACTACCTGTAATGTAGGTAAGGTATGATAAACAAGAGCTGTCTGCCAAACAACTTTCCTGCTTGATAGTACATGTATAACAAGAACTACACAGAACTTAAACCAAAAAGCTAAATCAGAATTTTTTTAAAGGTTTTTCAAGGTTTTTAGACATGACAAGACTGGAAGATAAATTTTCCATTTGATATAAGTCTAGACCAATAACTTGAATGCAAAATTTCATATCGTTTATTTACTCTGTTTTTCCAGAATAATTATTCCAATTGTACAAAATGGCACAAAATTGTAAAGTAAATTGTAAATTGCACCAACTTTTTTCACTCAAATCGGACTAAGAAGGGCACAAATAGCAATTTTTAACTTATTTTTAAGTATATTTCTTAATGACATTTTCATATCTTCAGTTTTAAGTGCTCCAACTGATGTATGTACAAAACTGAAATTTTATGTTTCTATGATTTTGGACCTCAATGGAGTTCCTTTAAGTTCACAAAGAGGTTGGACCTCTATGGAGTTCCTTTAAGTTCACAAAGAGGTATCATTATTATCTTAAATGTGAATTTTCAACTACTAATAAGATACTAGAATGAGTCTGTATGCAAAACCTAAGAAACAAACAATTTTGTCCAAGTTATTAAAGAGGTAAAAATTCCATGCTAGAGTTATAAGTGCCATGTTAATGATTTGCAAGACATGAGAATTGTCAAAGAAATATCTTCAGATTTTAATAACAAAAGAATTTCCATGCAAAACCTCAAACTTACTGGAAGGTCAATGCAAATGCTGGGGTGAGAAGAATAGCCCTACATTTGTTTGAAAAGTTCAGCTACTTTTTGTTAAATTTCATCCATGTTAACTTGTAAGAAAATATTAGCTTTAAGTGTACCTTTTATAAACATTTCTCCAAATTTGACCATTTCCATGAGACCAAGTCGTATCACTGCTGCCTTGGTATTATGTCCGAGCCCCATACCGTCCACAATACCAGCCCCTATACCAACCACATTCTGTAAGTACATTTTCATAAGGTACATGTAATAATTTGTTTACCAAAAATAATAAAGTGGTCAATAAAATTCTTTGATCTGTAATGCAAACCTGAGACATAAATTTGTCATATTATTTAATAAGATATTGTGTGATATCTTAATCTTTGCCATCTTTTAGAAAGGTTAATTGACCTATTTATTTTACTTGTTAAGAAAAAACAAGTTTGAATTTTAGTTATTTACTTAATAGGTCAAATACAATATATTTAGTCGGGGTGACACAAAAATTGTTCAATATTTTTTTACAACACAACACATGTGTGTAATCTAGAAACAACAGATCATTTTTCACAGGCTAAGAAATGAATATAATTTTTCTTCTGAAAGAAAGTCAAACATGATTTTCATAATGTTTTAATGAGAGATTTAAATTGTAAGATGCTTATTACATTGTACCAGTATGTATGTTACGAGTAAGTAACAGCTTTCAATCACAAGTGCTTTGAGTATGACAGCGTGCTCAACTATTCTCAGTGCTTGATAGTAAAACAAGAGCCTGGATAATATAGAATTTTCTAAGTTCAAAAAGGGCCAAAATTCTGTCAAAATCATGTTAGAGTTATGGGCCTTGGACAGTGACCTCCCTTGTATGCTCTCAAATGTGTGAAGTTTCAACTGCACACAAAAACTAACCAAAGTTAGATGCCAGCACCAAAGCAAGTACAGTACCTTTTTTTTACCTTTTCTTTGAAAAGTCAGGCTTAAATATTTTCAAATTTGGACAATAATAAGCCTTTCAGAAAAAAAAAAATAATAAAAGATTACCTTTAAAGCACCACACATTTCAATAGTTTCTACATCCATACATATAGAACATCTAAAATATGGTTTCTCAAACAAATTTTTTAGTATTTCACCCTCTGCTAAATTCTTACAACCTGTAATACAAATAAAAAACATGCAATAAAGTCACAAATCTTTACTTGGGACAATGGTAATATTTGTTGTTTTTAATTCACTAATGAAGCCATTGCTTAATATGTTATTTCTTTAATATTTTAAAATAATGCCAAAGTTGCTGGCCGATTTTTGTTTAATAGACAACAAAATTGTTGTTGCCTGGTTTGTTTTTATTTTTAACATAAATATACCATTATTGCTGCCTTATTTTCATCACCTGATTTTTAAAGGCTTTTCAGTACCTGGTTTTTTTCTTTATGTTAAGCAAAGGCAATGTAATTAGTAAAATAGAAAATATCAGTAAAGGGTTACAGAAATGATGATAAAATCATGTCAAGTTTTGATATACAGTGAAACCTCTTTAGATCATTTAACCACTTTAAAGCAACAGTATCAATTCTTCCAAAAGTAAGGCTTTACAATAAATTTGTTTTTGAGCAAGTGATGGACTTCTAATCCCAGATGAATTATGAATCAGCAAGGAGAAACAAATTAAAATCCACAGATCCCTACATGACCCTAATCTAACTTATTCAAACCATCAGATAAGTGGATTACAAAAAAAAATTCCATATTGTATTTGTTTACAAAAGTACACATGGAGATCTATCAATCAGACTCAATTTTAGCAGTCAATTGTCACAGGAAAAGTTTGCCTAGACTCAGGATATAACCAGCACCTCATGGATCACAAATCGGATGCTCTCCCTATTTAGCTTAAGTGGATGGACTGAAATATATTTAACCTCTCTACAAAGGTCATACTGTATCTAATAATATTTAAGTTAAAACAGCACTTTCTAAAACCCTCCTTACAAGGTTAAAACAAATAAACAAATACAACAATATTCAAAAAGTCTGCCTTTCTGACCTGAATATGGACTGTATTAAACACCATAATGAGTGGAAATCAAACTTGTAGCCAGGCACAAGGTGTAAAATCTTAGGAATCTTAAACCTCTTAGTCATGGCATTATTCTTGGTTATTTCTACATATATATGTACAACAGTATGAACATAAATTGAATTTGTTACCTATAGTGGCCTCACAAAACTGTTCATCAGCTACTTCTGGGGCGAGATTAGCCCCCATCAGCACGGCACAATCTATACCTAGTATTTCCTCTATCATGTTGGAGATCATCGCAATACCTGGTTTACCATCTGGAGCTTTATCGAAACCCTACAATGACAAGTAAACAACTCGAAACTAGTGCTAAAGACATTAGCCTTCTAATGTGTCACCCTGTGAAATTTTATGCTAACCAATCAGATTAAGCTTTTCATAGATGTTAGCTGGAAGAAAGATTTTATTTCAATAATGTTCTGGATAAATCTGTCATTTTCAATGAGTAAAATATTTACTGGTTTAGGACAGTAGATGAACAAGGGAAATTTAGCTGCTGCCGTCCATTTGTCACGGTGGCCGGACGGACACCAGTCAATATACCGATTTTTTGGAGAAATAGATGCTGCCCGGGAACCTTTTGTCATTTGTGACTGAGGTATAAGTTGGGGTATGAAAAACACATAAGATAAAACATACCTTAATTAATGACACAGCTAGAGCAGAGTCTTTGATATGTTCTTGCATGGTTTTACATGTTTGTCTAACAAACTGATGTGGCATTACAAATATCAGAATATCTGCACCTTTACACGCCTCAACAAGATCTGGCATAGCTACCTGTGTGAATTTATAAAATTTAATAAACAAATTTTAAATATAAATTACCACATTTTGTAGTAAAACAAACAACATGTTAATCAAAATAATATACATGCAGACTTACAAATCATTTTTAAGATTTAGATGACTGATAAACAAGGTCAGCTTCTGCTTATAGACTTAACTATTTGTCAATCAGGATGATCCCCATCAAGTTTGTTGGTCCAGATTAAAACATGACTTATAATCTGGTTTGCGACATTATGGAAAGCAAAGTCCTGAATCAGTGTTCCTAGATTCTTTGGTCTGTACAGATCATCTAACCTCAACAAGTAAGGACCAACTCTTCCACTTAAGTTACACAACTCAGCTGTGAAGGATATTAACGGGAATAAACCTACATCTGTATGTTACAACTTTCTCCAATTATGATTGGTATAATAAGCTTATAGTTGGAAAACAGTTTGCTAAGAGTGAAATGTCTTATCATGAATAGTAGTAGACAGTAACAATAAATATAATTTCATTGTACTGGTCGGAGACCATCAACCGGACGCTTTTGGAACATTTTTCCGTATAGATTTCATAATTTTTAATCTAGAGACCAAAAAATTTGACACAGTTCAGCTAGGTTCTTCTCCTTACTAACAAACTAGTTTATTTCTGATTGTATTACACTTATTTCTGAGGCTCGACAAGGAGGGTATCAAAATTACCTAAATTGTCTACACTACAGTACCATGTGTCCGGACAGATATGTACATGGTGTGATTTTAATTCAGATAAAAGCCTGGGTGTTTTGACTTTTGATTTGTAACATGATATACAATATGTCAGCAACAAATGCTGAAGTTTTGGATATTCTATTATTCACTCTGCAAATGATTATAGCTGGTTAATGAGGTCAGGAATTGCTTTCTTGACCCCCAAATTTCAACGTTAACATTCTTGAAATAGACATTAAAATATTACCATTTACGGAGGTTGAAATTAATTCATTTACTTAATTTTAAAAGAAACATGCACTTATTGTTGATAAAAAAGTGACTGACAACCACAGATCAAAGAAAATACTAAATTAAGCATTTTCGGAGCCGTCCGGGTTTGGTGGTTGTCCGGTTTTGGTGGTCCCCAACCAGTACACTGTTAAAAAACAAAGCAGGCAGGCAAAAATTTACAGAATAACTCAGTAACTACAACCAGTCTCAAAGAGAAAATTCCAAGACTGGGTCTAGATTTTAAAGATGGCAGTAGGGAATTTCATAGCCTTAATTTAAGTTAATGAGAAGGTGGAGTTAGAGTAGTTGGTTCAAGATATTAAAGTTCAGGTTTCTAGATGGGGATAAGGCTGCTTTTGTCCACTGCAATTACTTGGACTTTATATTTGAAGGAAGAGGTAAATTAATCATGTAGCCTATGTTGTTGTAGGGATTTCCATTCTAAGATACATATACAGAAAAATTAGTGACACTGCTTGTGTTATTGTATTCTGATATGGCGCAATAGGCTGCTGACCTAATGGACTTTTTCAATTTCTCTCTGAGAAGGTTTTTGCCAGGGATGCAAGACACTAGAACAATATTAAAGTATTTTTGAATGCATAGATATATGTCCATTTTAAATCATACCACATTTTCAGGTAATTTCACCCCAGGCAGGTACTTAACATTCTCATGTTTTTCATTAACGACTTCTGTGAGTTTCCTGCCTTCAAAATTCTCTTCATACATGTACATGTTGACCCTTGTCTCAAATATGTCTGATTTCTCCACAACATTTTGTCCCACTATTTTTGCAATAGCAGATCCCCTGAAAATAACGAATGTGAAAATATAAATAAAATTAATCATGTAAAACAATTAATTCTTAAATAGCTGTTGAAACTGTCTTACAATAGAACAACTCTAGATCACTCGTCAACACATTTTTTTTGCTCTATCTATCTATTTATCTTCCATTAATGTCAAATCTATCTATATTCCATTAATGTCAAATCTATCTATCTTCCATTAATGTCAAATCCCTCGAGCGGATGTAGACATGACTCTTTGACTTCAGTGACAGCTATGAGATACAAGGAAATCCGGGAGCCAGTCCCTAGCTCTATTGAATAGACCCCTTCAGGCCTTAGTTCTTTTACATGCCCAGTGTATAGCACTGATACAAGCGAGGATTACCTGGATTTCTTACCAGTACACATTTAGGTTAGTGGGAAACACTGAAAGGATCTCTAGAAAAATCCCAATAGTGATACCCATGATAGAACCTGGGACCTCAGGAGTGACAGTTTGTGGTCTAACCAACTGAGCTATCGTGCCACCTTCTTAAAGTGGTCATTATGATTTAAAATATTCTGTTTTGAATTTGAGGCTGTCATTTCTGGTTTAAATATCACATACACAGGGCTTTTTTTCCTTCTATAGCAGGGGCCGGTATAGGGCTGCTTCCCCAAAGAAAAATTCTTTAAAATCATTCAGTTTTCCCCAAAAATTGAATTTACATCAAGTTTTTTCTTCCCCTTTTGCAAATATACCGTGTATTTTTTCCCCAAAATTAAGGGCTGGGCTGCTTTCCCAACCTGTGAAAAAAAGCCCTGATACAACATATTTGTTAAAGAACTAAGGCATCTCAAAATACCTTTGAGACTGTTATTTTGGGTTTCTGCCTCCTACTACTAACAGCCCTGTTTCCCAATGTAAAACTGCTTTTATAGATCTACATTGTATTATGATAGATAAGAAAATCTGTTTATGACATTACATCAAACAATTTCGATGGTAATTGTTGCTTAGAATCTCTAAAAATCTTTGCATTACCATAAATCAAAATTTAGCAGATGAAAGATCTAAATGTTTGTAAAATAGTCTTGTTTATTAAGTTGTTTCACTAAATGTTTGTAAAATAGTCTTGTTTATTAAGTTGTTTCACTAAATGTTTGTAAAATAGTCTTGTTTATTAAGTTGTTTCACTAAATGTTTGTAAAATACTGGTCGGAGACCATCAACCGGACACTTTTGGAACATTTTTCCGTACAGATTTCATAATTTTTAACTTAGAGACCAAAAAATCTTACACACTTCAGCTAGGTTCTTCTCCCAACCAACAAACTAGTTTGTTTATTTCTGATTGTATTGACACTTATATCTGAGGCTCGACAAGGAGGGTACCAAAATAACCTAAATTGTCTACACTACAGTACTATGTGTCCGGACATATGTGTACATGACATGGTTTAATTCAGATAAAAGCTTGGGTGTTTTGATTTTAGATTTTTAACATGATATACAATATGTCAGCAACAAATGCTGAAGTTTTGGATATTCTCTTATTCACTCTGCAAATGATTATAGCTGGTATATGAGGTCAGGCATTGCTTTCTTGACCCCCAAATTTCAACATCAACATTCTTGAAATAGACATTAAAACATTACCATTTACAGAGGTTGAAATAAATTTATTTACTTAATTTTAAAGGATACATGCACTTATTGTTGATAAAAAAAGTGATTGACCACTGAACCAAGGAAATACTAAATTAAGCATTTTCGAGGCTGTCCGGGTTTGGTGGTTGTCCGGTTTTGGTGGTCCACAACCAGTAGTCTTGTTTATTAAGTTGTTTCACTACTGTTGTAAAATAGTCTTGTTTATTAAGTTGTTTCAATTAACTTTTAACAATTTATTATCAATTTTAATTGTATGGTACAGGGTCTGAATCCAGAAGTCTAGTACTTAATCTTTTACTGTTAACTAGACTAGATCATCAAAAGTGAATTTAACTGTTTAAAACTAAATTTGTTTAATTAAGCCATTATTCATCTGTTCATTGTGGACTGACTAGATGCATAATGGGTCGTGTGTTATGATATTTAAATTGTTGGAAAATAATAATAATCTACTGTGCAGGTTATGTCTATTTCCTTTAAAGAGAATTTTTGTAAGCACATGTATGTTAAAAAACCGGTGCATAGAAAAACCGGAAAGCACCGGATAGCACCGAAATACCGGAAAGCACTCAAATTTCTAATAAAAACATATGAAAACGTTAATTAATCGGTTTGAAAGTGTTACCAATCGATTTATTAGATCAAAATCTTTCATAAAAGTCATTTTTTTTTAAATATATATTGATAATTATTACGAGTATTTAGGAAAATAGATATATCGAGTGCTTTCCGGTCCTGCTAAGATACATGTACATTACCGGATAGCAATATTGTTTATCAAAGTTATACATGAAAACTTTATTTTATTGGTTTGAAAGTGTTACCAATCGATTCATTAGATCAAAATCTTTCAGACAACCCTTTTTTGTAATTATATTATGATTATTTTTACGATTATTTAGGAAAATAAGATATATCGAGTGCTTTCCGGTCCTGCTAAGATACATGTACTTTACCGAATAGCAATATAGTTTATCAAAGTAATACATGAAAACTTTATTTTATTGGTTTGAAAGTGTTACCAATCGATTTATTAGATCAAAATCTTTCAGACAACATGTTTTTATAAATATATAATGATAATTATTACGAGTATTTAGGAAAACTGATATATCGAGTGCTTTCCGGTCCTGCTAAGATACATGTACATTACCGAATAGCAATATTGTTTATCCAATTAATACATGAAAACTTTATTTTATTTGTTTGAAAGTGTTACCAATCTATTTAGTAGTTGAAGATCTGTATATCATGACGTTTTTATAAATATTTTATGTTTCATTATGCGATTTGTTACAAAGTTGTATTGATTGCTTTCCGGTAATGCTAAAGTACATCTACTTTACCGAATAGCACTCGAATATTTATATAAATCACACTAATCCTTCATATTAATTATGTGAAAGTGTTATAAATTGATTGATTAAGTTGACATTATTTCAATTAAAAATATTATGATTAGTTACACGATTTTTCAATCTTGCTCATACCATAGATCTGACAATGTATCATATTTCTAATATTTTATAGGTTGTGTGAAGGACAGAAAGAGGATGTGTAAAAAGTATCAATAAGTTATTCAAAGCATCGAACCATATTTTTTCTTATTATATTTTTATATCATGTAAAATAAAGAAAAACTTATAAATTTTCGTTCAGTTATGTCTTTATTTTTACCATACTATGTGTACCGAAAAGCAATGTGGTCATCAGTGGAGGACAGTAGTTGTTGTATTGTTTATCACACGTGCTAATCCTTGCTGATTAAAGACCTTGTATATTGTAGCACAAAAAGGTGATGATTTAATCAATTTGTACACAATTATGATAATTGAGAGTACCGACCTGCACATCAAAGTTGCATTAATTAGACACTGTCCTTTACAAATATTAAGTATCAATATCAATGTATATTATATAAAATTTATATCACGACCGCAATAGTAGGTTCGAGTGTGTCTTAAGATGTCATTTATGCTCATCAGGCTGTAGTCTAGCCCATACTCGAACTGAAATGGATTTACCATAATATAATATGCATTGATATTAATATTACATAAAAAAAATCTAGGGGTCTGCCTATGTATATATATATTGTAGTTTTATATGTATATAATAATGAGATAGTTATTTGTTGATTTTGTTTTTAAAACATCACTATTTGTAAATATAATTAAATTATAGGTTTAAATGACATTTCAATATCATATATAATACCTCAATTAATCAATCAGTTAAATACATCCAGTTATTGTGTATTATTAACACCTCTTTAAATGTGATAATTAAATCAGCGTGTGTCCGTTCAATCAGCGTGTGCACGTGTAATAAACGAGGCGTGAAGTGCTTTTCGGTGATGTATTACTATTACTTCACAGGACCGGAAAGCAATAATGGAATGTGCAGGACCGGAAAGCACTCGATATATCTATTTTAATATCTATTTTAAACTTTTTTATTCGTAATATTAATTATAAAAAATAATGTCAGGGAGATTTTTTCCTAATAAATCTCTTGGTAACGTTTTCAATTCAATACAATGAAGGTTGTACGTTTTTTAGGGAAAATTCGAGTGCTATTCGGTACATATACTTAACAAAACCGGAAAGCATTCTCAATTTATTTAACATTCCTAAATAATCGTTATAATAATCATATTATAATTATAAAAACATGTTGTCTGGAAGACTTTGATATAATAAATCGATTGGTAACACTTTCAAATCAATGAAATAAAGTTTTCATGTATTACTTTGATAAACTATATTGCTATTCGGTAAAGTACATGTACCCTAGCAGGACCGGAAAGCACTCGATATATCTTATTTTCCTAATCAAACGTAATAATAATCATATTATAATTATAAAAACATGTTGTCTGAATAATTTTGATATAATATATCGATTGGTAACATTTTCAAACCAATGAAATAAAGTATCCATGTATAACTTTTATAAACAATATTGCTATCCGGTAATGTACATGTATCTTAGCAGGACCGGAAAGCACACGATATATCTATTTTCCTAAATACTCGTAATAATTATCAATATATTTTTATAAAAATGACTTGTCTGTACGATTTTGATCTAATAAATCGATTGGTAACACTTTCAAACCAATAAAATAAAATTTTTATGTATAACTTTGATAAACAATATTGCTATCCGGTAATGTACATGTATCTTAACAGGACCGGAAAGCACTCGATATATCTATTTTCCTAAATACTCGTAATAATTATCAATATATAAATTTAAAAATGACATGTCTGAAAGATTTTAATCTAATAAATCGATTGGTAACACTTTCAAACCGATTAATTAACGTTTTCATATGTTTTTATGAGAAATTTGAGTGCTTTCCGGTTTTTCGGTGCTATCCGGTGCTTTCCGGTTTTTCTATGCACCCTTAAAAAACAACAACATGAGCCATGATGAGGCCTACTAACAGACTTGCAGTTCAAGGCAACCTTGACAATTTGTCAGTTAGAAAGGTGAAGGTCGCGAAATCTTGTTCATTACCGGTGAGCTTAATTAACATCACATTGTAAAATCATTTATCAATAGAATAACAAATCAACTTACCAATTTCCAGAACCAACTATGCAAACTGAACTTTTTTCACTCATTGTTTTTTTCTAAAATTCGTCTGTCAAAATGAACTTCCTGATTTAGTTCCCAGAAATGGTTCCCTGCTTAGTGGTCAGACTTACTAATCCGATTTCCGCAGTCATTTCGTCCCGAGACGTTTCGTTTCCACAGACCTGTACGTATATTAACAATATACGTACCTGGTTTCCAAAATAACAAAAGCCGTTTCGGCCCAAGACACATCGGCTTTAACCTACTTGGCCCCTTTTTGAATAAGTTCAAATAAGTAACAAGTATATAAAACAGTTGTTTTAAACCCAACATGACATTTTCAGTTTGTGTTGTTCGAAAATGTTTATCAAATTTGTATCCTTCTACTGTGTGATAGCTGATAGATCTTGAATATAACTTTAATTTAGCACATTAGCAGTAATGATCCAATTACATATGGTAAAAGTATGTGTACGGGAAAGTATTTTTTGTTGTTGTTCAGGACGAGACTGTCCTGTCCCGTGCTTTAAAGGACAATCCGGCATTTTTTAATTGAATAGAAAATGGAGAACATGTTCTTATTCTCGATCTAGTCTATATCTAAATTAAATGAAAGGAAATTAACCTATTTGACTAAATCATTTTTTCCAAAATTAAATCATAGTTTCCCTAACTGGGACAAAGAGTAAATTTAAAGTATTCTGAACCAAAGTACGAGTTAAAATATGTTTACTGCTTCACCGCTAGACAAAATAACGTCTGTTGCGTAAAACGTCATGACGTCACATGTTGCAAGAAATATGATTGGACGGCGCATCAATTGATTGTGACGTAACAAACAGAACGTAGTTACAGCAATTGAAATATCGCACACTTACAGTGCTGACGAATAAATATATATGTTGTTAGAAGTTAATAAGAGACAATATACCTGCAAATGGAAGGACACCTGGCAATTGATAACCGGCGTGTAGCGAAAAGCATATTTAAAGGTAAATTTTCTATATATCTGAATGATAATAATTATTGTAAAAAGAAATCTAGCTGTAACATCTACATCTTCATAATACTGCTTAAAAATCAATTCTGATTATTAACTTATTTGGACATTAACGCCTGCTTAATTAGCGTGATCGTCCCTAAACGATTTTGAAGCAGTATAATGTTGATGAACTTATGATTTTCTGGTCGATATTTAATACATTCAATGACAAATATAAATTTGTCATTGAATATAATCACCAAAAAATATGAGAGAGTTTTTATGAAAATTGTCTTAGTCATGATATTAAGCTTTTTAAGATACACAGTTTTGATTGTAATTATAAGAGTGCACAAAGGTCTTTTCAACTAATCATACGAGACCGTATTATTCAAGGAAAATAAAATGAATAATGTAGTATCAATCAATTTCCATTCTTTATATTTTCCAACCACAGAATCGTTGTTTGAAATGTAATCGTTTTTCGGTGTACCAATAATTGTTTGGAAACATATCTCTTAAAACCATAATCTGGCAATATGCATGTTTCAAACAAACGCAGGCACGCTCGCACGCACATTGTTCAGTCAAAGACCAGTGCACAGTTAAAAGCGCACTGCATGCATGATGGGCAAGTAGAGATGAATATAATCTACTGCTTATATAGTTCCTTATATATGGCACAGGATGAGAAAAAGCAGCCTGACCGGAACTCGAACCCTGGACCCTCGGAATACTGTTCCGCGGCTATAAGGAGATTTCCGGCCGCTTACATATCTTCTCCCCTAAATAGTAAAAGTTCTGAACCATGTCAGCTTTGCGTTATAATAATATGATTTCTAGGTATATCGACAAACAAAGACACTGTTATGCAGTTCGCGTTCATTTCCGAGTAAATATTGAAACAATTATTGTATTATTCAGTCCGAGTTCATTCCTAGATATAAACAAAAACATTGGTCCTATTAAATTATACTATCAATGTTAATTTCTAGGCACATATAGATATATTGGCCCTCTTATACAGTCCGCGTTCAATCCTGGGGATATATAGAAACATTTGCCATGTTTTATACAATCCATGTTCATGTCCGAGTTTATATAGACACATCTTATACAATCCACGTTCTTGTCTGGGTACATGTAGAAACAATGACCATTTTATGCAGCCCGCATTCATTCTTGAGTGTATTTGTAAAAAATTGCAGTCGGTGTTCCTTTCTTGGTATATATTTAAAAAATTGGCCACATACAGTCCGCGTGCATTCCTGGATGTACATAGAATCATTGGTGCTCTTTTACATACCACCTTCATCCTTTATGTATTTCCTGGGTTTATCTGGAAGATTCAAGTCTCATATTAGCCTATGTTAATGTATGTGTGCAATTTCTGGGTATTTACATTTTGAATCCTTCTTTATCATAGTAATTTGATCCATCGTTACAAATATCGCACTAAATAGAATACAGACGACTTCGTAGGTATTGTGATGTTGTAAACTTTATAAAGTACATCTCGATCCGAGAGAAACACTGGAAAACATTTATAATACTAATAATCTGTCGTTTATGTTTTTGTTAAATAAGAGAAGATTCCGAAATTAAAAAAAAAGAAAAGAAAAAAAAACACGCCCATCTATAAATGAGTTTATTTTACAAATTCTTTATATATTTTTGGTTACAGATATTCTTATTAGTCCAAACAATGATGACATCATCATTCCAATCAGTGCGACGTTCGACAAAGCCGTATTACACATTGGTATAGGAAACGGATCATGTGGTATATTTATAGAAAAGTTTCGTATGAAGAATGGCAAGGAGATGGAAACTTCAGTAAAACATGCCACCCGAAAGTTCACAAATGCTCGTAATCAAAGGAAAAACAAAGGTAAAGACAAGAAAGCAAGTAAAAATGAGGATATTAAGACGGTTGTAGATGACAGTGGTAAGAAGTTTACGAGAGATTTTCCAAGTATGGAAGAGATTGAAAGACAGCTGGCTAAGCTAATTGAACACCTTGTGATTAAGGCACCTAAGAAAATCAAAAATACTAAAGATACAATATCAGACACTAAACCTCTGAAAGAAAGCAAATCTGTAAATATCGAATGCGACATTGCTGCCACTGATGAAAGTATCCAATCTACGATAGGGACAGTTTTCACATCTAACATCAAAAGTGACTTACGGCGAAAACCAAGGCATGACAAAGAAATTGCTGGAATTACCACACACAGTTTTGATCATCAAAACCTGATTGAGCCAAATATGAACATTCATTTGTATAAACGTAATGAAAAAAGTTTAAAAGCAACGAATATAACTTCATTTGAAGCCATTGATAAAACATATGAAAATGAAATGATAGGGATTGCAATAGATAAAGAAGCAGGTGTCTTTAAACCAAATTGCATTCGGCCAATAGGATTTCCACTTGCAGATGATAGGCATGCATATCTGGATGAAGTATTCGTACTCTCAAAACGAATCTCTCAAATGTTTGACGAATATGTATCAGCAGCTTCAGAGAAAAGACGAAACAACGAACAACAAGAGGATATACCCGGAAGCGGTCCAACAGGTTTAGTCATAGATATAAGTAAAGATAACACAGTAGCAGATAGAAATTTATTTGGAGACGTTCTAGGCAAGGACCAATGTTGTCCAATTTCATCTGATATAATTGTAGATAGAGAGGCCGATAACGACAGTGATACATTGGATCATATCGACCCGTCAACGTCTGAATCAGATAGTTCAACAATTATAGATAGAGGTGCAGTTGATGAAATGTCAGACAGTGACACATTAGATATGGTAGGTATAGAATCGGATGAAGATATTGTAGAAATCGAAGCGCTAGCTCTTCAAGAACATGACGAATTAGACATTTTATCAGCAAGGAATGACAGCGCGAAAGAAAGCAAATCTGTAAATATCGAATGCGACATTGCTGCCACTGATGAAAGTATCCAATCTACGAAAGGGACAGTTTTCACATCTAACATCAAAAGTGACTTACGGCGAAAACCAAGGCATGACAAAGAAATTGCTGAAATTACCACACACAGTTTTGATCATCAAAACCTGATTGAGCCAAATATGAACATTCATTTGTATAAACGTAATGAAAAAAGTTTAAAAGCAACGATGATAACTTCATTTGAAGCCATTGATAAAGCATATGAAAATGAAATGTTAGGGATTGCAATGGATAAAGAAGCAGGTGTCTATAAACCAAATTGCATTCGGCCAATAGGATTTCCACTTGCAGATGGTATGCATGCATATCTGAATGAAGTATTCGTAATCTCAAAACGATGCTCTCAAATGTTTGACGAAATTGTTTCAGCAACTAAAGAGAAGAGACGAAACGAGGAACAACTAGAGGATATACCCGGAAGCGGTCCAACAGGTTTAGTTATAGATATAAGTAAAGATAACACAGTAGGAGACATAAATTTATTTGGAGACGTTCTAGACAATGACCAATGTTGTCCAATTTCATCTGATACAATTGTAGATAGAGCAGCCGATAACGACAGTGATACATTGGATCGTATCAACCCGTCAACGTCTGAATCAGATGATTCAACAATTATAGATAGAGGTGCAGTTGATGAAATGTTATACAGTGACACATTAGATATGGTAGATGTAGAATCGGATGAAGATATTGTAGACATCAAAGCAATAGCTCTTCGAGAACAAAACGAAGTAGATATATTATCAGCAAGGAATGACACTGCTGACAACTCTACTAACGATAACTATATGGTCGACGATGATGATAACCTGTTTGGTATTATGAACATCTACGTAAATACTGATCTACACTTCACCTTTCACAACGTAAGTGATTTGGGCACTAAAAATATATGTTTTATTTTAAATGCATTTGAACGATTTTCCAGCAACTGATCTGATACACGATCACAAAGAATCACATTTTATTTATTGTAAGCAAGAGCGTTGTATCATTTTATTGGTGTTTTATAATTTGGTTTTCATATTCAATTTCTATTTATTTTTTTAATATGTATGCCTAGTATTGTCAGAAAACCTAGTTTTGGTGAAAATTTCCAGTCATTTGATTTTGTTTGCCTTTATTTCTTCCTTTCTTGCTTATTGTTTGTTATTGGTTTTTTTGTTGTTGTTTGGTTATATTTTATTAATTTATTGATACATTTATTTATTTATTTATTGTTTTTTTTTTCAGTTACCAGCATCAGCCGAGCACTGTGACCAGAAGAAAGACTTTGGATATAAATTCTTTTCATTTTCAACTTTCTTTAAATAGACAATAAATATGAGAAAGATAGATCTATTTTTTTTTTATTCTTTTTTCGCCATGGATGGTATATAAATCTAATTCGGTGCAAAATCTTACGTAAGTTTATAGCTTTCGTATATGTAACGTCAACATCGGACAAAAAACCCAAACATTGGATCAACCCCTTTTTATCGGCTTCATATATAGAGATAGCCAAAAATATGAAAACGTATATACATGTATATACTGAATTTCGTACATTGACTAGAATCTAGCTTCCATATTTAGAACTGTCTATAATTAAGGTTTGATGAAGTTTCAAGTTTAAATCTGCCAACATTAGCTCTATAAATCTTGGTCAGCCAGCACTGATGAAGCATGGCTTTATAGATCTACGGTAATGATCTGGTGGCAATGGCACTCCGGATTCAAGGTAATGGCTAAATCAAAGATGGAGGACATCATTTTTGTATTTTATTTCTTAAACAGCTGTTTAGACTTTTTTATTTATAAACAAAAACTCACGGCCCTTAACCCTTTACCACATATATACGCGAACCAACGCACTTTCGACCTCCCCCCCCCCCCTTTTTAGGCCTGAAATAGTGAAAAAATGTCCTATTTGGGCCCCCAACACATGTTTTCCTTTGAGAAATGTTGCTAAAAAAGTGAGCACTTTTTCGGCGCCGCCCCCATCCAAAAGATACATCAGGTGGTTGCCAGAAGGGGGATGTGCCCCCTTCTGTTTGGGGGGTTTGAAGGGGGGCGGAGTCCCCCTCATAGCCAAGAAAATTTTGGACTTGTGAGAGGTTTAAAATGACCCCAGGTCGATCATAAGGTAACGTGTAACCAATGCTAAAAAGCCTTTGACTCTATCTCAATCCCTTGAGAAGTTGCAGCACTTTGAAATAAATTTTGATGGAAAAAATCGAGGCAAAATAGTGATTTTTGGCAATTTTGAGATGTCCCCTCGTTGCCATGGTAACAGGAAATTTAAGACTGAGCATGTCGTTACAAAGGCAATGGTCCAGTCAACGTTTGTGCCAAGTTTGATTAGTATTGAAACATTTTTCATAGTTTCATAGCAGTTTGAACTTGTAAGAGGAGGCTTTTCAGTGAAAATGGCCATTTTTCACAATATGCTCATGGGGGAAAGGGTTAACTAAAAAAATTATAAATGTTACAAAACAACAATTTTTCACCAAAATTAGGTAAAAGACCACATGTTGACATGGAAAAACTAGATTTTGGGTGATTCCAAAGTTTTTCATCATTTTTTGTTAACCCTTTACCACATATATACTCGAAACAACGCACTTTCGACCCCCCCCCCCTTTTTTTAGGCCTGAAATAGTGAAAAAATGTCCTATTTGGGCCCCCAACAAATGTTTTCCTTTGAGAAATGTTGCTAAAAAAAGTGAGCACTTTTTCGGCGCCGCCCCCATCCAAAAGATACATCAGGTGGTTGCCAGAAGGGGGATGTGCCCCCTTCTGTTTGGGGGGTTTGAAGGGGGTCGGAGTCCCCCTCACCGCCAAGAAAAGTTTGGACTTGTGAGAGGCTTAAAATGACCCCAGGTCGATCATAAGGTAACGTGTAACCAATGCTGAAAAGCCTTTGACTCTATCTCAATCCCTTGAGAAGTTGCAGCACTTTGAAATAAATTTTGATGGAAAAAATCGAGGCAAAATAGTGATTTTTGGCAATTTTGAGATGTCCCCTCGTTGCCATGGTAACAGGAAATTTAAGACTGAGCATGTCGTTACAAAGGCAATGGTCCAGTCAACGTTTGTGCCAAGTTTGATTAGTATTGAAACATTTTTCATACTTTCATAGCAGTTTGAACTTGTAAGAGGAGGCTTTTCAGTGAAAATGGCCATTTTTCACAATATGCTCATGGGGGAAAGGGTTAACTACAAAAATTATAAATGTTACAAAACAAAAATTTTTCACCAAAATTAGGTAAAAGACCACATGTTGACATGAAAAAACTAGATTTTGGGTGATTCCAAAGTTTTTCATCATTTTTTGTTAACCCTTTACCACATATATACTCGAAACAACGCACTTTCGACCCCTCCCCCTTTTTTTTAGGCCTGAAATAGTGAAACAAGAGCACCGCTAGGCGGAGCATTATATGCCCGAAAGTGTTTTTTTTCTTTACTAAGGATGAAGCATTTGTAAGACATTACATAAATTAAATAAAGTATTACCTCCTTCAAATAGCAATCCTCCTATAAAGTTTGAATATTGTGGGCCAAATGGAACTTCAGTTATGCTCTGGAAACTGTTTTTAGTTTTGAGGTAATAGCTACCTTGAACTTTGACCAACCACAAAATCAATAGGGGTCTTCTACCCAATATGGACAATCATCCTATGAAGTTTCAACACTATGGGCCAAATAGAAAGTAAGTTATGTTCTGGAAACTTTTTTCAGTTTTAAAGTAATAGTGACCTTGACCTTTGACATTGTGACCCCAAAATCAATAGGGGTGTTCTACCCAATATAGACAATCATCCTCTGAAGTTTGAATATTGTGGGACAAATAGACCTTAAGTTATGCTCTGAAAACTGTTTTCAGTTTTATAGTAATAGTGACCTTTGACCTTGTGACCCCAAAATCAATAGGGGTCTCCTACCCAATATGGACAATCATCCTATGAAGTTTGAACACTGTCAGCCAAATGGAACTTAAGTTATGTTCCGGAAACTGTTTTCAGTTTTAAGGTCATAGTGACCTTGACCTTTGACCTTGTGACCCCAAAATCAATAGGGGTCTTCTACCCAATATGGACAATCATCCTATGAAGTTTTAACACTGTCGGCAAAATGGAACTTAAGTTATGCTCCAGAAACTGTTTTCAGTTTTAAGGTCATAGTGACCTTGACCTTTGACCTTGTGACCCCAAAATCAATAGGGGCCTTCTACCCAAAATGGACAATCATCCTATGAAGTTTGAACACTGTCGGCCAAATGGACCTTAAGTTATGCTCCGGAAACTGTTTTCAGTTTTAAGGTCATAGTGACCTTGACCTTTGACCTTGTGACCCCAAAATCAATAGGGGTCTTCTACCCAATATGGACAATCATCCTATGAAGTTTGAACACTGTGGGCCAAATGGAACTTAAGTTATGCTCCGGAAACTGTTTTCAGTTTTCGGGTCATAATGACCTTGACCTTTGACCTTGTGACCCCAAAATCAATAGGGGTCTTCTACTCAATATGGACAATCATCCTATGAAGTTTGAATGTTGTGGGCCAAATGGAACTTAAGTTATGCTCCGGAAACCAAATTGCTAACGGACGGACGGACAGACGGACGGACGGATAGACAGACGGACGGACGGACGGACGGACGGACGGACGGACGCCCGGGGGTATAACATAATATGCCCGAAATTCTTTCGGGCATATAAAAATGTCCTATTTGGGCCCCCAACACATGTTTTCCTTTGAGAAATGTTGCTAAAAAAAGTGAGCACTTTTTCGGCGCCGCCCCCATCCAAAAGATACATCAGGTGGTTGCAAGAAGGGGGATGTGCCCCCTTCTGTTTGGGGGGTTTGAAGGGGGGCGGAGTCCCCCTCACCGCCAAGAAAATTTTGGACTTGTGAGAGGCTTAAAATGACCCCAGGTCGATCATAAGGTAACGTGTAACCAATGCTGAAAAGCCTTTGACTCTATCTCAATCCCTTGAGAAGTTGCAGCACTTTGAAATAAATTTTGATGGAAAAAATCGAGGCAAAATAGTGATTTTTGGCAATTTTGAGATGTCCCCTCGTTGCCATGGTAACAGGAAATTTAAGACTGAGCATGTCGTTACAAAGGCAATGGTCCAGTCAACGTTTGTGCCAAGTTTGATTAGTATTGAAACATTTTTCATAGTTTCATAGCAGTTTGAACTTGTAAGAGGAGGCTTTTCAGTGAAAATGGCCATTTTTCACAATATGCTCATGGGGGAAAGGGTTAACTAAAAAAATTATAAATGTTACAAAACAACAATTTTTCACCAAAATTAGGTAAAAGACCACATGTTGACATGGAAAAACTAGATTTTGGGTGATTCCAAAGTTTTTCATCATTTTTTGTTAAGGGCATAAGAGTGACCAAACAAACAAAATAACAAATAATTATACAAACATGGCATAGAAGTAAAAAAAGAAGATGACTTAGTGAAATTACAGCATTATTGCTTTAACAAAAATGGCTAGATTAAATAATGTATTAAAATTCGGTTATCACTAGTCATTAGACCCTGAATATTTAAAATACCAGGAAACCTGGAAAAGTAATTACTGATATACTTGTGTCTTTCATGAGTAAAACATCTACTATTAAAAATATAGTGAAATTCGTCACCTATTTCTTGCTGGTTACAAGGTGAGCACATTCTATTTTCTCTTTCAATACCAAAATAGCGACGTTTCTCTATAGAAAAATCAGAATTGGGACATCTAAATTTACAAAGAGTTATTGCTTAATTACTTAGTAAACATAATGAATAATTTTCTAATTTAAATTGAGTTTTATATACTTTATACTTTAAACACTTAGCAGAATTGAAAACATCACTATTCCATATTTTTAAAAACTAGTCACATAATCGTGATTTTATTACATATTTAAAGTTATTAAAATTTGTAACATTCTGAGTTATCCAAAAATCAGAAAGTAGAATAATAACATAAAAATAGCAATGGTAATACTAATTTCCGGTACCTTTAATGACACGCATTAGTCAACGCGTCAGGCGTCATGGCGTCACGCAATGCCGGCGTCTTTCCAAAGAATATTCTTTCAGTATAATCGCTTAGTTTAATTAAAAAATATATTTTTGTATATATATACACACAATATACAATTTCATAACTTTACATTTACAGACATAATTAAGTGTACATACAAAAGGTTTGGGTCAAAAGTTCTAACAACATTATCGTGGTGCCTTCCCTTCAGTATAATCGAACAAGGGTACGAGTGTGTTTCTATTTGACCAGTTTTCGAACTGTCCCTTTTCCCCTTCGTTTATCTATTATATTAATACAAAGCTTTAATACTATACACATCATTT